TTTCATATGCATCTTTTGGATTTATTCTATCTATTATAGTTTTCGAGAAAATCAATGAAATGTAAAAACACTCCTTTTTCGAGCATTTTTTAAACTTTGAACGCGAATTACAGCCAAACGGCTAAAACCACAGTAATATATCGATACTTGCTACATTCTTCAAACATTCAGATTTCATATGCATCTTTTGGATTCATTCTACCTAATATAGTTTTCGAGTAAATCAATCAAATGTGAAAACACTGCTTTTTTTGAACTTTCTAATTGCAATTTTTCAACTTCGAACGCGTATTACATCAATATGGATAAGAGCACAGGAATGTATCTATACTTTAGCAGATATTTGAAAAATTGCTCACTGCTACTAATATTCGGCGCTCCTCACAGTTTGGAAAACGCTGTTCCTCAAGGTAGAGTATTTAGTCCTAATTCAAAAGTTTAGTACATACTAAATCCTGTGTTTCGTATATTTGTATAACACTGCACGTAAATTTCTTATCCTACATGAAGATATAAACTTGCGTGCTGAATTTATATAACTAAACTTAATGGATCAACGAAATGTTTATGTGAGCGCGAGAAGAGGAAGGCCCTTCTGACCCAATTAAAATCGCACATAATAATCATCACGATCGGATCAATCGCAAACTGCGAACTGGAAACAGCACACGCGATCCCCATATTAATTGAAACAACAACAACAACAACAAGTCTGGGGAAATCATTTACCGAAATGAAACAATTTCCACAGAAAAAACAATAAACAAGTCTCCAATTTTCCGGAGCACGTTCTCACGTAGAGACGATTCTTCTCGAAGCATTAATAAAACATGTTTTTCCACCGCCAAAGAAAGAAAAAACAAAGAAAAGAGAGTTAAAGAAAAAATGTACATCTTTTCCGTCGAAGGGAAAAACTTTTATACTGTAATTGAGTTATGCATATTTCATGATGAGAAAATGAAAGAATATGGAAAAATATAATAAGGATTAGGTTTTTTTTTGCTTCTAATTCTTTCTGACGAAGCTAATTTATTCGGTTTTTGCTTGATTCAAACTGTACTCACTTGATGGCTTTTACCATGGAAAGACCCATATGGACGCAGAGAACGGCGTGATCCGGTCTCTCCTGAGGAGCTCCACTGATGCAGTAGTAGCAATCTCCTAAGATTTTTATCCTCAATTGATGATATTTCTGCAAAGGAAAAGTTCATTTTAAATCCTCGAAAGTCAAGGGAAGTACCCCAAGGATAGGTACTTTGTCCTATTTCTTATTAGATCTAATCATATTGAAAATGTATACTTTACAAAGTTTTACATATTTGTTAATTGAAGGCATATTTTAGTTGAAAAACTTTGCTAAGTTGGAGTACCTCAAGGTAATGTACTTTGTCCTATTCCATGTTAAATTATGATTAGAAAGGAGAACTAGGATCAATTATTTCGTTTAAATAGATAACCAGCAACAAAAAACCAACTTTCCCACTCTTATTTGATTATCGTGCGAACTGACGCAGATGAAGAGAAATCGCGCTGTTTACGAAATTGGAAATGCCAATGGGTTTTCCGAATTGGGTTTCGCGCGATTTCCATATCGGGAAAGAAGTGATGGAAGAGGAAAGTGGAGGATGAGGGAAAACGTATATCCGCAGCGACGGTAATTTAAAAGGTTTGCGTCTCGTAACATTTATTTTTCGCAGGCGAAAAGTGGAGAAAATGCATCTCATATTTCTTTCCTTTGGCGACGTTTTCCTGGCAACAAGTGAAGCGAGCGAATTTGTTTTTCCATCCGTATAAAATATCATCGGTTTACTTCAGAATCAAAGCAAATGCATCACTTCTTTCCGACAACTTGAGGAAATTTACAATCAAAGAAATTGGGAATAATTTTTATGAAAAATGATTTTAATGAAGATTATTCGGAGCGTGAACAATTTGATGAATGATAAGAGAGAAAAAAAAACTATGTCTGAGGCCGTTTTATAATGATATTAAAGTTTGGTAAACTATTTCCTGAGTTTTCTCGTGTACTCTCGGAGGATGCGATGTAATTAGTTTTCGTTCATTAGATGAGGGAACGAGGACGACAACTTCTAGAGTGCTCTGACTATGTCTGTGTGTGTCTATGAACTTTAATAATCTCTAGTGTTTTATATATGTATTTACACTCATACACACGTAGTAGGCTGAGAAAATCAATTTTCCAGGATTAATATGCGGCACGTCTAGCGCTCGAACTAGTGCACTAATTCCCACTTGATCCAGTTGCCAGACACATCAACTGGAACGTCACCGAAGACAAAGACGCAAAAATTTAGTTATGCTTACGAAACATTACAGATACACCCGTGTCTGCGAACTTTCCTAAAGTTTATTGTAACATTATCTTAAGAGTTTACTTTGTAATAAGTTTTTTTTCAGTTAGATAAGATGTTTACTCTAACCTAACCTAAAATCAATTTATTACCTAACCCAATTAAATATAACCTACATTATAAACCTAACCTATACAAACTCTTGCAATGAAACGTAAGCTCATTTAAACTACATTAAAGTTATTTAACTAAATTTACTGGAAAATAATTCAATGTCACACAAGTTAGTTTGCTGTAACATTGAGGTTATATAATCTAGCTTGAAACATCCCCTTTCCTAATTGATTAAAAATTAAAGCGTATCGTTAAGTAAAGTATCATGTTGATGTATATATATATATTGTAATTGGAATTCGCTAATGAAGATGTCACTGTCTTCAGACTAATATGAAGTGAGGAGGGTTGGGAATTTTTGGAATGCGCGAAGATGGGGAAATTCGTGGATAGGTGTGACAGAGTGAAGGAGACGGAGAGAAGATGAAGGTTTCGGAACGTTGAGCATGCTGGATGGAAGATTGCTTTTCACCATCAATATTATTAAGCAAATTTGATGCGGACCAGTAATTACTCAGATGTACGCGCGAGCTTAATGCCCTGATCACCAAGTCATTACAACGTTATGTTCGAAATGTCTGTATAAAACCTAATTTTATGATAGAAAAAGCAATATTTTCATTTCTTTCAGTTTTTTGATATATTTGAGACAAAGTACATTTCCTTGAGGAACTCTTCCTGAAAACCATTTGAAATGGATTTGAAAAAAAAAATGAATGATTTAAAGAAAAGTTAAAATAAATTAAAAAAAAAAAGGAAATGTAATAAGACAAAGTATAAATCCTTGCGGTACTCCTATAGCAAAATTGAGATTTAAGCTGTAAAATGTTCGGATTCTCTTTTATTGAACATTCTTTTTACACTCGTACTTAAACTAATTTTATGATAGAAAAAGCAATATTTTCATTTCTTTCAGTTTTTTGATATATTTGAGACAAAGTACATTTCCTCGAGGAACTATTCCTGAAAACCATTTGAAATGGATTTGAAAAAAAAATGAATGATTTAAAGAAAAGTTGAAATAAAATAAAAAAAAAAGAAATGTAATAAGACAAAGTATAAATCCTTGCGGTACTCCTATAGCAAAATTGAGATTTAAGCTGTAAAATGTTCGGATTCTCTTTTATTGAACATTCTTTTTACACTCATACTTTATGTAATGATTGTTGGATGTAGATTTGTTAAAGTTACTTACGTCTGCAAGTTTGTCGAAACGAGCGAACAATTCGTTGAGCATCTTGACCAGTTCCTGGGCGGAATAAGTGGATGAGATGGCCGTGAATCCGACGATGTCTGCATAGAGGATGCTGCGAATAGGAAGATACGGTTTTTTTTTGCATGAGTAAAATAGAATGTATGCACCATATGATGGTGGGTAGTAAATTTTCGGGAAGAATTTACAACGCTGAAAAGACGATGCTGCTGGAATGGAGGCATCTCGAGAACACCACTCTAGCGAAAATAAGATAAAAGCCGTCCCGAGGGAAGAGAAAACCTCATGAATTCCAATACACGCAATTTATCATTCGCAGCAATATTTACTTATGTTTTTTTAGTTCTTTATGTTATATACTTCTTTTCTGAATAAATTTTAGATTCAATACAGAAAAGTGCAATTTATTTCATTGATCTATATATTTATCTATAAATTATCTAAACTTTTCAAACAGTTTTTCAATTTTCAACTTAATTTGTTTATGGAAAATAATGTATCTACGAGAGAGAATCAGTCAACGTTTCGATTTTCAACTTTTTCATGTAAATATAAGATTTTAACTGATTGTTTGAATAAAATATCAATTGTGTAATTATTTAACATTTCAAACTTGAAAAATGCATAAAAAGAAGACGAAAATTCAAAAAAATAAGAGTTATATTTACAAGAATCCTTATTTTATGCATTTGCGGACATACGGCAAATATATCCGCCCTATCCTTCATAAAGTAATTTTAAATTTTAATTTCCTTATATTTTTGTTATAATTATTCATAACAAACAGATAATGTGAAAAGAAACAAATTAGAATAGAAAAATAATGAAAAGTTTAAAAAATTTCTTAATTATTTTATAAAATTTGTACTATACACTAATTAAGATCATTATTTATGTAATAATCAGACTAATTACTAATAACTTATTTTTCATATTTATTTGTGTGTTATATTTGTATGTTTTCTCTATTTTTTGGCCAATTTCTTCTCGATTTAATGTATCTACGAGAGAGAATCAGTCAATATTTCGATTTTCAACTTCTTCATGTAAATAGAAGATTTTAACTGATCGTTTGAATAAAATATCAATTGTGTAATTATTTAACATTTCAAACTTGAAAAATGCATAAAAAGAAGACGAAAATTCAACAAAATAAGTGTTATATTTACAAGAATCCTTTTTTGTACATTTCCGGACATATGGCAAATATATCCGCCCTAAAGGATTTTTAAGTGAGGCGCCACTAATCTTTTTCAGACGAAGCTTTTGACGTTAGTTTCTATTGTACACAAGAAACTGATTCTGATTAACTCTATTTAGTTATTTACTAAAGTATCGATTGTATGCTTTTCACTTCAGATCATCAACAAACAAAAAAAACAGCAGGAAGAACGCAAACAAAGTTTTCCTTTTATCAGCTCGGAAAATCGCCTGCGGTTAAACGCACCCCAGACTGAATAAAAAAAAAACATATTTATTTAATTAGTAAAGAAATCTGTGTTTGTGTGTAAACCAGTAACCTCATTTTCAACTCCCCCCCGGAGGGATTCTCCGTGTTTTGCGCCTTTTATTACTGTTATTGCCCGTAATTCAATACCGACCTTTTTCATACTTAATAAAACCACTCCAAACCTATAATATTTACTACATAAATATTTATTTCAATCTGGATGATCGATCATATCATAATCCAACGATTTTAACATAATCTCCAACAATAAAAATCTTAATTAAAACTGTTATATTTATACATTTCTCTATCATTACAAAATTAGGTATATTTTTTGCTTAATTTCTTCAGTTTATTCACATTATAAATAAACGAAACTAGAATGATATAAACGTATTTCTTCAGCGTTTTACGTGTACAAAATTAAAAAAAAAACTGGCTGCATCTACTAAATATTGTAAAAATTTATGAAATATTTAGCATTCAGTGAGCGTATTTTTAGGGGTACTTTTTTTTTCTATCTCTCTCTTCCGCAAGATTAAGCGTGAATTATGTAACGTAAACAGGCTTGATTCTGAACGTGCCCTTCCGTTCCTCGCGTAATTGGGTCAGTTGTTTACTTCCATTATTTACAATAAATTAAAAATCATAGTACAAATTATTAATAACGCTCGTTTCGTGAATAAACGCATACATCTTGTTGCGTTTATAATTGTATAATTCTCTCATTGAATTGATGCGAATATTGCATAATAGATACGTTTTGGGTCGAACGGTTTTGTTATAAGTGATTTAGAGGGACGTCGCAATAACAGATCGATGTTTCGGCGTGCGATGTAGAACTAATTTTGCCTATCGGCGGAGAGGATTTAAACCAATTTTGCGAGCTGCGAATTGGGACCTTCGCCAATTTGCAAATCACTAATTGGATGGACATTCGATACTGTTTTTTTTTTGTTTTAAACGTATTTCATTTATTCTTCTCATTGCCACATTATTTGATTATTTATCAAGCCTTCTCTTATTTTGAAACGAATTTTCTGGCTGCAAATTTTACCAATTTTCAATCACTAATTGGATGTTTCTTTTTTAGTACGTAATTTATTTGCATCATTGCTTTATTATGAAACATGACTAAGTTATTAACTGCTCTTTTATATCCTGATTCATGTAATTCATTTTTTAGAAGTTTTTTCTGAAAGATATTTCTAATATTTATTTGTCTCTAACGTTTTATATTCTATACCTATTTTTTATAAATTTCTTCAGATTTTTATTATAATTATTCATAACAAACAGATAATGTAAAAAGGAACAAATTAAAATAGAAAAATAATGAAAAGTTAAAAAAAAAATATAATAAGAAAGAAAATATATTTTTGTCATTTCTTAATTATTTTATAAAATTTGTACTATACACTTACTAACTAAGACTAATTTTCTATACATTTTTAGTTTTTATCATTTAATTTGCATTTACTAACTTTTTTTCATATTTATTTGACTTGTTTGTGGAAAATAACTGTTTCGATTTTCAACTTCTTCATGTAAATAGAAGATTTTAACTGATTGCTTGAATGAAATATTAACATTCCAAACTTGACAATTTCATAAAAAGAAGACGAAAATAAGAGTTATATTAGCAACAATCCTTATTTTATGCATTTGCGGACATACGGCAAATATATCCGCCCAATCATTTATAAACGAGTTTTAAGTGAGTCATTTCTTAATTATTTCATAAAATTTGTACTATATACTTACTAATTAAGACTAATTTTCTATACATTTTTAGTTTTTATCATTTAATTTGCATTTACTAACTTTTTTTTTCATTTTTATTTGTCTGTTATATTTATATGTTTTGTCTATTTTTTCTCGTTTTTTTGTAATATAGAAAGTAACAATCAAAACTTTACATATTTCTCATTTATAAAGTAGACAAAATAAATTAGAATTGGTAATAAAGAAAAAATTAAGAAAAGAAAGAAATTATACAGATTTATTGGATAACTTTTTCAAAATTTATTTTTACATTGTTATCTCATGATTTAAGTAATATTGCGATAATAAAAATAAAGAATTGCAGACAAATTTCGTATAAAAATAAAAATAAATACATGAAATTATAATTTTCTCTTAATTTTTGAAGTATTTGTATAATCATGAATTGAATTCAAAAGATGTTTACAAATTTCCTTGAATAATATTTTCAATTAACAAGAACTTTACTATATTTGCATTCGTTCTCATTCATTAACAAACTTTCCTAAATCTCCGAGTTTTCTCGAGTTAATTAATAATTAATTCATTAATTAATCTCAGGCCGAGCGCAATTTGCAAATTAAATTAACAATCTGTGCAAATATTTACCTGACGTTCTCGTGTCGGCTCATGTAGATCTTCTTGAACTGACTATCCGCACTGTCCAGATCCTGCCTCATCTGAACTGCGACGTGCTCAGGCAACACGGACAGCAAAAGCCTCTCCTGAAAATCGCAAATTATTTCTCTTCGAGCAATTTTTTTTGTCCACTCACCTGTTCAGCGCTTTGCTCTTCAATTACGAGTTTCACCTCTAATGATTGTCGCGTCTCTAAGAAAGCTCTTCTCTGCTGCTTCTCCTCAACAAAGTACGACGTTAAACCCAGAAGATTGGCGGTCAACAGCAATATACAATTTGCAATATGCTGAAAATGTACAAGATTTCAAAGAAATATACTAACTATTAAATGGGAAAACTTCAACAATCATATTACAAATTTATTTAGAACTTTTCTTATATCGAGTAATAAAAATGTAATGAAAAAACACGATTTTTATGTGTTATTGAATATAATTTTATAGTTAAAGCAATTAGATTATAAAAATAGTGACAAAGTGCTGCACGAGCTGTAATTATTACATCACCTTTGTGGCTCGACACATTCTGTTATTATTTCGTTGTTAAGCAAAGGTTTTCCCTTCGTAATATCACCAAAATCGATATATCGAATTTCCACACCGTTTCATATCTTGTTTTTTTTTTCTTGTTTCATTTCCTTCGCAGTCCAAGGCCTTCTTCCTCCATTATTTATTCAAATCTCTTCATTCCTATCGAAATTACTTGACCGCAATTACTTGATCAACATAATTATTCAAAATTTTGTTAGAAAATTGCTGAAATTTCTTGATAAATCTAATTTCGAAAGTTTTAGTAAAATGAAAATGTAGTTTATTTGCATGCGGCCTGAAATAGTTCTACCTTGTACCAAATGGGGAAAAACTGTAAACGTGAACGGAAAAAGCAAAAGCAAATACGTTTTTGGTATTGATTGAGAAATTTTGCGTTTTCGCGTGTTTCGTGCAAGGTTACGTTATTTCGGATTATCTCCTTCGTCCAATTAGTGCGAAATGTCTGCAGCCGCAAGGAATCTTCCAGAAGGGCGTCAAAACCACCAGTAGGCGGAATTAATGAAGGGCGCCTACTCTGATGTTCCAGTTTACACATTTTCCCTTGCTTATTTCGCGTTAAAACAGATTTCAAGTTTGTTCTTTAATTGATGATTTTGACAGTAAATTACAGGAAAACTGTAATAGTTACAAATATTGCAGATGACACGTTGGAAAGGCCAAACATTTAGCTTTAATTTGCACACTCATTGATTATTGTGTCGTGTAAAATGATTGAGAAAACTGATTCGATTTTATGAAGCTTAAAACTATTTTCTTCAACTTTGACAGTAAATTACATTAAAATTATTGCAAAGTTCAATAATCAATAAAATTGTGTTTGTGGAAAGAAATATTGTTGAAAGTTTTTATGTAATCGTTGGGGAGAAATGCAATGAAACAAATTTAGTGATGAAAAACTTTTGCAAAGTATTTGATGTGATCGATACTGCTGCGTTGGAAAAACGGGATTCCTGTGCAAAATTTAATTTAAGTATTCATGAGCTTTCGTCGTCGTCGTCGTCGTCGAAATGGAGCTAGATAATTAGTTGGTTCGAATGGATGAGCGTAATAAGTTTTCTCTCGCTTTTCCTATCGGGCGAAAACTGAAGGAATTTCCATCTCGATTCGGAACCGACCATTTCCGTTCGAACGCTCGAGGCGTGTGGAAATATCACATATAACACATAACTCGAATAGTTTTAGATGATAGACTGATGAATATTAAAGTTTATAGTGAAATATCGGTTCATGAACAAAAAATGTTATATTGTCTAATGTTGTTATACTATTATGTTGTTTGGTTTTCAAGTAACTTGTCAAGTAACGCTTAATATGTAAAGTTACATTAAATTTACACATTAAGCGTTACTTGACAAGTTACTTGAAACGTATTTGCCTAAATCATTAAATTTGAAATAAAAAGTTTATATCAACACGTTGCAAGTAGTTCGACAAGTTAAAAGAACAAGTTAAATAAGTTAAGAAAGATCATTGGTCAAAGTATGAATCCTTGGGGTACGCCGGACGTAATTGGAAAAAGGCTCACGTCTTTGATTTTAATCCGGATCAAAGAAAAATGAAAACTACTAGAAACTTAATTATAGTGAATCAGGATTTGAAATTAAGGTTTTATTACTTTACATTAATAATTTTGATTTTCAAACAATAACCAAGTAACTTGTCAAGTAACGCTTGATAAGTAAGTGTTACTCGGCAAATTTTTATTTGCATAAATCATTAAATTTGGAACAAAAACTTTATATAAACACGTTGCAAGTAGTTCGACAAGTGAAATATACTTGACACGTTACTTTACAAGTACTTAAAAAAAATTACATCTCCATCATATAAGTATTTGAAAATTGTCATTTTTCAACTAAAAAAATGAAGTTAAGAAATATGAATGGTCAAAGTATGAATCCTTGGGGTACGCCGGACGTAATTGGAAAAAGGCTCACGTCTTTGATCTTAATCCGGATCAAAGAAAAATGAAAACTACTAGAAACTTAATTACAGTGAATCAGGATTTGAAATTAAGGTTTTATTACTTTACATTAATAATTTTGATTTTCAAACAATAACCAAGTAACTTGTCATGTAACGCTTAATAAGTAAGTGTAACTCGGCAAATTTTTATTTGCATAAATCATTAAATTTGGAACAAAAACTTTATATCAACACGTTGCAAGTAATTCGAAAAGTGAAATATACTTGACACGTTACTTTACAAGTACTTAAAAAAATACATCTCCATTATATAAGTATTTGAAAATTGTCATTTTTCAACTAAAAAAATGAAGTTAAGAAAGATCATAGGTCAAAGTATGAATCCTTGGGGTACGCCGGACGTAATTGGAAAAAGGCTCACGTCTTTGATATTAATCCGGATGAAAGAAAAATGAAAACTACTAGAAACTTAATTACAGTGAATCAGGATTTGAAATGAGAAGGATCAAAAGGATTCGAAGATAAGACGATTACAATTAATGATTAGTGTAGAAAATTTGTAAGTTGATCCTTGAAATATAAGGACGTAAATAAATAATGTGTACATACAGGAATCAATTAAACGATTTTCGCGACGCGCTAAATAGTGTTTAGCATTCGATGGGAGATTTACGAGTGGGAAGCTTCCTGAAGACGCGAATCGATAGAGCTGAACTGAACTCTTGACCTTAGCCTCGAGAATGCACAAAAGTTTCATCTCTTTCCCCACACACACTCAATCTAAATCCATCTCTCTCTCGCTTTCCCTCTTCTACTCCTTGTTCTTCACACGCTGTGGAAAGTGCGGAAATATTTTTACTTTTTTCTACCCATACATATTTTTTTTGTTGTTGGTGTGTCGATCTAGGAAATTGCATATCCGCTTTAAAAAGCCAGCCTCTAAACTCGGCGCTAAATGTTGCAGGCAGGCTTTAATCTCGCCTCTTTTCCGAGCTCAAATATTTATGGCCGGAATTGAATAATATCGATTAGTCGTCGTCGGTCGTCGCCAACATCAAGTGCAGGATAAATATTTAATGGAAATTTCTACACCGGAATCCAATACTGACCACTTTCTCTTCGGACGTTATTAACACCGTTAAATTATACTTTGATTAAAGATTAATTAATTTCTGATTTAACCTTGATTAACTAATATACGTGATTTATTTAGTAGTGTAATAAAATTTAATTAGTTTCACTTTGACAGCTTCTAACAACCAAACGGTAATAGATCCAAATCTAGTTATACACGCATATTAAACCCTGTACTTTTTACTTTAATTTGAATATTCGTAGTTGTAATTAGCGTTTTTGTTTATTGAATAATTCAATAAAACGTGAAGACACTTTTATGACAATTTATATAGTAATTTTAAGTCTATTTTTTTTTCCAAATTTTACAGCTTCTAACAACCAAACGGTAATAGATCCATCTCTAGTTATTTACGCATAGCAAACCCTGTATTTTTTACTTTAATTTGAGTATTCATTGTTGTAATTAGCGTTTCTGCTTATTGAATAATGCAATAAAACATGAAGACACTTTTATGACAATTTATATTATAAATTTCAGTCGATTTTTTTCCAACTTTTACAGCTTATTACAACCAACCGGAAAAATATATAAAGGCCGCAGTATAAGTATATTAAATTATATTTTTTTTAATTTAATTATAGTATTCATAGTCATAATTAACAATCTTGGTTCATGAGTTACATAATAAAAGGTGGAACCATCGATTTTTTGTTAATTCAAAAAAAATCTACTTTCGCAGCGTATAACAACCAAATGGTAATTGATATAAATCTACTAGTATACTCATATTAAAGCCTGTACTTTTTACTTCAATTTGAGTATTCATAATTGTAATTAGCGTTTCTACTTATTGAATAATGCAATAAAACGTGAAGACACTTTTATGACAATTTATATAGTAAATTTCAGTCGATTTTTTTCCATCTTTTACAGCTTATTAAAACCAACCGGAAAATGATATAAAGGCCGCAGTATAAACATATTAAATTAAGATTTTTTTTACTTTAATTAAAGTATTCATAGTCGTAATTAGCATTCTTGGTTCATTAGTTACATAATAAAAGGTGGAATCATTGATTTTTTGTTAATTAAAAAAATCTAATTTCACAGCGTATAACAACCAAATGGTAATAGATATAAATCTACTAGTATATGCATATTAAAGCCTGTAGTTTTTACTTTAATTTAAGTATTAATAATGGTAATTAACATGTATGCTTATTGAATAATGCAATAAAACGTGAAGACACTTTTATGAAAATTTATATTGTAAATTTAAGTCCATTTTTTTTTCCAACTTTTTCAGCTTATTACAACCAACCGGAAAATTATATAAAGGCCGCAGTATAAGAATATTAAATTATGATTTTTTTTTACTTTAATTAAAATATTCATAGTCGTAATTAGCATTCTTGGTTCATTAGTTACATAATAAAAGGTGGAATCATTGATTTTTTTGTTAATTAAAAAAAACCTACTTTCATAGCGTATAACAACCAAATGGTAATTGATATAAATCTACTAGTATACGCATATTAAAGCTTGTATTTTGTACTTTAAGATAAGTATTCATAATGTTAATTAACGTTCATGTTTATTGAATAATGCAATAAAACGTGAAGACACTTTTATGAAAATTTATATTGTACATTTGAGTCGATTTTTTTTACACATATTAAAGCCTGTATTTTTTACTTGAATTTAAGTATTAATAATGGTACATAGCTTAAA